ACTGATTTAAACACAATTCAAATTGAGCAAATGCATAGGGGTTAAGTAACCATTAGATTAGTAAGGTACAGTTGTACCGAGACCAGATCAAAATTATTAAAAATAATTTGAGGAGGAAATATAGAAATAAAGCCATAAACAATTCCCAATGGGAAATGAGAGAATTAATTCAAATTAACTTCGAAATTTGTCTTTTTCAAACCAAATTTGAATAAGTGTAAGGAAATTAAAGGTTGGTGTCATATTTGATGATAATCACGATAACGGTGAGGGATCAGTGATAACCAGAATACAACCAACAGAGAGAGCCATGCAGAACAGAGTGATGTTAGCTGATGACTTAGCAAAGGGACGGCCACAAGGGGGCGCTTTCCTCTAAGTGGTCATCAGAAGCTGCTAAGACTTAATTCTGAATTTTAAATTCAAACGTGGTTTGAACCAAATTCAAAACAAGTGCACACAGTCAAGGTAAAGAAAATCATGTTATTACAACGAGGCTGTAAATTGCACATGCATTGAAAGTTAGAGAAACTAGTTCAAAATTTCAGTAAGAAAATAGGAATTTTCTAACAGAGAATTTTGAGGAAAAGATGACCTAGCTGTTAGTGTCCACACGATGGCGCCACTGCGCTCACACGGGGTAAAGTCAGGACACCGGTGGAAATTTGATACTGCAAAGCACTCAAGGGCGCACCCTAGTGTCTGGCAGTAGTATTACAACCACCTGCTGCCCCTGTGATTTTCTCAGAGGGAGTGGAGCGTTACCACCCTCCCTGCTGTATAATCACAAATATTACGGAATTTTAAATCTCGACGGATTTCTTTCCGGTACTATATTTTACAAGCACGTTGGCAGGATTTTTTCCTTTTCGCTGCGTTGTGCAAAAGAAAACAGGAATTACTCGTCTGTTTCAAAACTCCAAATAACATTTATCACAACTAGTATTAATGATTGGAATGTTTTCAGTTTTGGATTTTTTTGGTGCTATATTTGTTTAAAACACGTTCGCAGGTTTTCTTCGCTGCATTGTGCAAAGGAAAACAGGAATTACTCGTCTGTTTCCTAATTCCAAATAACATTTATCACAACTAGTATTAATGATAAGAATGTTTTCAGTTTTGGATACACGTTCGCAGGTTTTCTTCGCTGCATCGTGCAAAGGAAAACAGGAATTACTCGTCTGTTTCCTAAACTCCAAATAACATTTATCACAACTAGTATTAATGATAAGAATGTTTTCAGTTTTGGATTTTTTGGTGCTATATTTGTTTAAAACACGTTCGCAGGTTTTCTTCGCTGCATTGTGCAAAGGAAAACAGGAATTACTCGTCTGTTTCCTGCTCCAACAGGCATATATCAAATAGCACTTATGATAATATGCTTGGCGGTTTTATACATTGAGTAGCTAAGTCAATGTTTTTTTCAACCAGGAGCTTATCGTTACTCTAACGATTATAATATAAGGCCTTTTAAGAACAGTAAAAGAGCATCGTTTTACCGATCTTGTCTTCGACACTATTCGGAGAATTTCGTCCGGACAGTGGAGTTAAAATTATTAAAAGTGTCGTTTATGCACAGAGGTTTCTCTTCCATCTGTGCCAGAACAAATTTAATACTATGGAAACTGCAGTTTATTTTTAACAATTAACAGTGACTAAAATGTTTGAACATTTAGCAGCTTGTTAAATGTGCTTGACTGAGGCGGCTTTCGTGCCCAGCTCAATCATATCGTGAGTTCGCAAAGCGTTCACTCCGATGCGCGCGTGTAATATTAAATATTACATAAACAATATTAAATAACAATATACACATTAGCTTGAAATTGATTGCTCATAAACAAGTTTGAAATGCTCAGCATTCTCCACCATAATGTAAAGACTCTGGGTCGGTTCTGATCAGGGGGGAATTTGCATATCATAATTAATAATTGATAATTAATAATTATTCATACAGATTTGGATCAGACCGGTCTTACATGTTAATTTATTAATTTTACCCATATGCATACATGTGCATCCCCGCAATCAACCACAAATTTTTGTTATTGATTGCAAGGACCACGTTTTACAAGACAGGCAAAATCAATTAGCTCAATTAAGTTATATAGCTTGTGAAAACAAATTCTGTGGCCACTAGAATCTGCCTTCCCTGCTCTATAACCAAATACCCTCTTAGGTATTTATAGTTCTGTAAAGCGTGTAGCTTTAAATTGACATTTCATTGACCCGTATTATGAGCAAGACAATCAGTCAAGGTAAGCATATTTTGCATTTAATAAAGTTACTACTTAAGCATTCACTACGTTACAATGATACATGTATTTACAAACATTAAAACACAAACTAAGACGACGCAGAGCGTTTAGACAATGGATACGCGCAAGTTAAGTGAGTTTGAGAGAGAGAGTGAGAGAGAGAGTGAGTTGTGAGAGAGAGAGAGAGTTACGTTCATCAAAACAGTCAGTTAACCTTTCTGGACACCACAAAAACATCTTAATGCTTCTTAGAAGCTCTAAAAGAAGGTATCCTTGCAAGGCACATGTGGTCTGTGTGAGTCGTGGGCTCGTTGCTCGACCCGTTCGGGCCACGTGTCGGCTAGAGGTGCGCCGGTCCGGCGCGCGTGCGTCACGTGAAGCGCGGCCGCGGCATGTTTGCGCGGCCCGTCCCGGCTCATTCATGGCTGCTTTGTTCCGTGGGGAGTCACGTGGCGTTCGTCGGCATTTAGCGCCAGTGTTTGAAAGGCTGAGAGTTTTTGAGGTGACGTTACCCGAGGAGATAGTTCGGCAAAGTCCACTTCCTTTCCTGGAAGACGAACTTGGTAGTCCACTTGAGGAAAAGATGAAACTTTTAGACGAACAAAAGGAAAGATCCATCGTTGGATCAGAGTCCCGTGAGGTTTACATGTTGAGCGCTGGAAAGTTCAGAAGAAGAGAGAGGGCGGACCTGCGTTCTCACATTTATCACCTTGGAGAAATCCATCCCCTTCCTGTTGGCTTGAGCCAATCGGAGAGTGGATGTTGCACGCGGGAAGCTTTCTTTTGTTCCTCAGCGCGCGCTTCTCGTGGAAGGGGGTGTGTTAAATGAGGGTTTTGCAATAGCAATTTGATCTTCATTGGCAGTACAACGAATTAAAAATACACTTTACTTTACATCTCTATGCATATTCGAGTGTTTCATTCAATAAGCATTCTAGAGATATCAAGGAACATTATGTTATATCAAAGGAATATACACTTATGTTTCAAATGCATGACGAAGGTATTTTTAATTCCTATTTAAACTGTGATCAAACAAAGTTATTTCACTGTGACATGGGGAAGACACATATACATAAAAACCATTGAAAACATTTTGTTGAATGTTTTTAAACACCAAAAGTCCTTCTCTTTGTTCAAAAACATTCCACACATTCCGATGTGTGGGGGAAGTGAAAGGTTTGTGTGTGTGTGTGTATGTGTTGATGTAACTCGCCTGGCCAAGATTCATTACACAGTTCTTAGTTGACTGGGATGGTCCTGAGGAGAGGAGTTGGGTACCGACTCGGGACATCCTGGACCCTTCGCTCGTCAAGGATTTCCTCCGGTCCAGCCAGTCTCGTTTCTCGGAGTGTCATGATCCTGGTTCTTTATTTCGGTTTCGCTTTTCCCTTTTTCTGTCTCCTCCTCATTTTCACACGCTGGTATTTGTACTCACTGATTACTCACTCATTTGTACTCACTGATTTAGTAGTGATAGTTGTAGTATCACTACTAATAAGTCCTAAATTAGTGGTGATAGTTGTAGTATCACTACTAATTTACTGTTTATCTGTTATAATGGCGAACATATCAGATGCGTGTCTAACATTACCTCTGAGTGCAGGTGAGGACACGTTCGAGCTCTTCACGGTGAAGCAGGAGCTGGAATACGTCGACAAACAGATCCGTGGTCTGCTAGTGAAGCAAGCCGAGCTGTTGGATCGGCGCTCAAAGCTTGAAGCATCACGCGCCGACGCTCACAAATCAGTGGTTAGTAACGTTAGCTCTTTGAGTCCGACTTCGTCTACTCCGTATGTTACTCTGCCCAGGACGCGATCATCTCGGGCTTCATTCACTCCGGCACCGAAACAGCAACATGGACCATGGATCACACAGCGGAAGACACGAGCCAGGACCAGAGCTGCCTCTCCGCCCCTCCCGGTCTTCAAGATCTCCACCCGGAACCGCTTCTCCCCTCTTCGCGAGCCGGAACGCGATGACGCCGTGATCATCGGCACATCCATGGTCCGTCATGTCCGCGCTACTACTTCGGGGAAAGGTAAGGTGCGCACTCACTGCTTTCCTGGTGCTCGTGTTCTTGATGTCGCTGCACAGGTTCCCGAGATCCTGAACGGGGACGAGCGCGTCGGAGCTGTTGTGCTGCACGCGGGAGCGAACGACATCAGGCTGCGGCAGACGGAGGTTCTGAAGAAGGACTACAGGAGCCTGATCGAGACGGTACGCAGCACAACGCCTAAAGCAGCGATCATCGTGTCTGGACCGCTTCCCACGTACAGACAAGGACAGGAAGGGTTCAGTAGACTATTTGCATTAAATGAATGGCTAATGTCATTGTGTAATGAACAGAAGCTGCTCTTTGTAAATAACTGGCATCTGTTTTGGGAAAGACCCAGGATGTACCGTGCAGATGGATTCCATCCAAGCCGAATCGGAGCGGCTGTGCTGTCGGACAACATCTCCAAGACGCTACGCACCAGATGACTAGTAAGTCAAAGTCCAAATCACAGCCTTTGCGGTCCAAACTTAACTAATATGCATAGTAGGGGTGTAACGGTACGTGTATTCGTACCGAACCGTTTCGGTTCAGCACTTTCGGTTCGGTGCGCATGCGTACCGAATGCAATGCGGAACTTGCATCAAATCTGAGTTTCCACACGAACATATTAAGTGTCGGATGTCTCCGCTCTGCACTTGCGGTACAAACACAGCGGGCTTTAGCCCAGCCTCTCGCTAGCTAGCGTCATGGCCAACGCAGACAAGCCAGAGCTTGAAGAACCACCCATATCATTAATGTCTCCTGTTTGGGAACACTTCGGTTTCCCAGTGAAATACGTCGACGGACAAAGGCTAGTCGATAAAACGAAAGCAGTGTGCCGACATTGCTCAGTAACGATCGGGTATGTAGCTGGAAACACATCAAACTTGTTAACGCACTTGAAAAGGCATCACCCGAATGTGAACATCACTTCTACGAGGAAAAAAACGAGCATAGTTCAAACGCAGCTCCCGTTGGCATTTAAACAGACCTTTGCTGGTAATTCCGATCGGGCCAAAGCAATAACAAATGCAATTGGTGTTTTCATAGCAACTGATCTACGACCATACTCGGTTGTGGAGAACATTGGTTTTAAGCACATGATGAAGGTGACTGAGCCCAGGTATGAAATTCCATCTCGTCCACATTTCAGCCAAAAAGTTGTACCCGGTCTTTATGAACAGGTTAAAACTGCTGTAGTCCACGAGCTGTCAAAAGCATCTGCTGTTGCACTCACTACTGATGGATGGACATCTAGAGCTACTGAGAGCTACTTAACAGTGACTGCCCATCACATTACTCCAGAGTGGAACATGGTAAGCCATGTTCTTCAAACCCGTCCCATTTATGAACAACACACAAGCACAAATCTGGCAGAGGGACTTAAGGAGACAGTGTTTGAGTGGAAGTTGAAGAGGCCAGGGACAACAATTCCTGTCACAACTGACAATGCCAGGAATATTGTCAATGCAGTCAGTGAAGCTGGACTGGGCCCTCAAATTGGATGTTTTGCACACACAATTAATTTAGCTTCACAGAAAGCAACAGGTCTCAACCAGGTGTCCAGAGGGCTAGGTAGAGTCTGAAGGGTTGTGTCTTTTTTTCACCATAGCCCAACAGCAGCACATATATTGGAGAGCAAACAGGAAATGCTTAATATTACAAAACACAGCCTTATTCATGATGTCACCACCCGCTGGAACTCCAGTTATGATATGCTAGAGAGGTACCTTGAACAGCAAGCAGCGGTGTATTCTGCCCTGACAGAAAAGGCCCTCAAGAAGAACAAAGAAATAAGCACGTTGTCTGACCAGGATGTGAAAATGGCAGAGGAGGTACTTGAGGTTCTTAAACCACTAAAAACCATCACAACACTGATGAGCACTGAATCCACACCTTCAGTATCAATGATCCTCCCCCTAAAAACCACAGTACTCAACTCTATGACACCCAATGAGGAAGACAGTTCAACTGTAAGAGAAATCAAGGCTGTCATCACAGAAAAGCTGAAGAACAGATACTCTGCTTGTCATGACTTCCTCCACAAATGCACAGCTCTTGATCCAAGGTTCAAGGCCCTTCCTCATGTGGATGATGCCTGTCGTGACAGAATCTACAACGACCTCATCACAGAAATTGTAACCATGGAAGAACAGGTATTGTGTTAATTTGCTAGTGTGTAAAATATCTTCATTGACATTGTATAATCCAAAATACTTTGCTGCTACAGTGCCAGTAGTAGTAATTTATTAAAATTATTTTGCAGAGTGCGGAGGCCACAGCAGTTAGTTCATCTCCAGTGACAGGACACTCAGAGGCATCATCTCCTCCTGTCAAGAAGTCTGCCATGGCTGAACTGTTCGGTGAACTCTTTAAGACTCAGGTGGGAAACAAGCCTACTTTGCAGCTAGTGAAGGAAGAGGTTACCTTATAAAAGTCTGTGGACTGCATCCCACTGGATTCCAACCCACTTGAATGGTGGAGGACCAATGAATCCACATATCCTCATATTGCCAAGTTAGCAAAGCAGTACCTTGCTGTACCTGCTACCTCAGTCCCTAGCGAGAGGGTATTTTCTACAGCTGGAGACATTGTAACTGCCAGCAGATCTTCCCTTTCTGCAGACAATGTGGACAAGTTAATTTTTTTGACAAAAAACATGAAAGTTGAATGAATCTGAGCAAGTCTAAAAACTAAAACTGTTGATGGTGCACTTTACACTTTGTAAAAGTTATATATTTATATATATATATATATATATATTTATATATATATATATATATATATATATATATATATATATATATATATTTTTTTTTTTTTTCATATGGGCAGGCCTTAAAGCTGGGATTGGTAATGCTCCACTGTTATCCGTAGTTATTTATATTTTTCATTATATTTTATTTTGTGATATTGGTTTCAGAGGATTTTATTTAGTGGAGAATTTTGCAGCAATATTTTATTTCTTATTCTTTTTTGTTTTGTTTTATATATATTTTATTTATTTATTTTATTTATTTAATAAAAAGTGTGTTTAAAAAGGTTTAAACAAATTGTTCGAAAAGTTTGAAAAAAAATGTTAAAATAAAGTTTATATTAAACTAAACAACCAGCAGTTTAATGTTTGCATTTCTTTCCCTTACTGTACCGAAAAATAACCGAACCGTGACTTTAAAACCGAGGTACGTACCGAACCGTGATTTTTGTGTACCGTTACACCCCTAATGCATAGTGTGGAACATTACATAGAAACTGTGTCTATTCCTCGTTTAGTGAAGCCAAATAATAAAACTAGTGCAGGATCTAGCAAAAATCTTATTGTAATCAAACCGGAAAATCTAAATATCAGTGAACAAAAACAATTTCTAAAGCTAGGTCTTCTAAACATTAGATCGCTCACACACCTAAGGCGGTTATTGTAAATGAAATGGTCACAGATTATAACTTCGATGTTTTGTGCCTTACTGAAACCTGGCTTAAACCAAATGAGCATTTCGGTCTAAACGAATCTACTCCGCCAGGATACTGTTATAAACATGAGCCTCGCCTGATCGGTCGTGGCGGCGGTGTTGCAACAATCTATAAATATATTTTTTAATATTACTCAGAAAACAGGTCACAGGTTTAATTCATTTGAAGTACTTGTGCTAAATGTTACGCTCTTAGATGTAAGAAGGAAATCGTCTCGGTTACGGATGTAACCCTCGTTCCCTGAGTAGGGAACGGAGACGTTACGTCTCCCTGCCACTTCTGCTGTATCGCTGGGTAGACGCCGAGTTCAGTCTTGGCTCCTCAGCGAAGACATACTGCGGTTGCGTTCACTTCCTCCTTTTATACTCACGGAGTAGGGCGGAGTACGCTATCTATGCGAAACCCCCAATCTCCGTCACTTCTGACGTAACGTCTCCGTTCCCTACTCAGGGAACGAGGGTTACATCCGTAACCGAGACGTTCCCTTTCGTAGTCACTTCGAGTTACGTCAGAAGTGACGGAGATTGGGGGTCTGTGCCATCACGCCATCTTCAAGCTGTCTTCCAGTGCCCTGCGAAAGTCTGGACCCCTGAGCCTTACCTTTTTTTTTTTTTTTTAGGGATCCCACTTTGACACAGGATTACCAAGGTACACTGGGAAACATATCCTGGGAGGGACATGCTACCAGATGCCTACTGTAGAGGAAATTATAGATTTTAATGAACTTACAAAAACACGTATGGATTTATATGCATGTACACATTCGAGAGGGACCAAAGAACCCAAGACTCGGAAGGGGAGAAAGAATGCACACGCAATGCCTGCTCAGCGAATCTCAAAAGAGGAACTAGGAGTCGCATGACTATTGTGTTGCAAGTGTATCCGTTGGAAAAACCCAGATGGTCTGAGAGATTGTGTCACACAGCCAGTATAAATAAGGCTGCTTTTTCAGTGTTAGTTGTTGCGTCTTGATAGAAGACTTTTGCGTGCATCCCTGAAGGTAATCATTCTTCAGTCCAGCTTGCTGGAACATATATTGCTCTAACTGCTTAGCTGTATGATGTTAACTTAACCTGCTCATAGAAAGACAAGGTTAGTTATTCATTTGATACTTGAACTGTGTATGTTAAGAAAAACTTTGTGACTGAACCACTTATACAGGACTGCCCTGTTAAGTTGGGAGATACTGAGGTATTATAATCTGTAACCTTTTCTTTTGTTGCTACTATTAACAATCATTGTGTAACCAGTGTTATTATCGTTTGTATAAATAAACTTTCATTTTATAAAGATAAAAGTGGAATAGTTCTTTACCTCAGGTCACAATACCAGTTCTATAAGCAATAGTAAGAGCTTTAGAGTAACTCTTGCGAGGGCAAGAGGTCACCAGGACTCCACGGAAGCATCTCCACGGAGGGTGAGTATGAATTGAATTGATGGTTGTTGCTAGTAAATGTTTATTGGTTCACATGAGTGTAGGGATACACCTAGATTTACTGGTATGGGTTAAATGAGCTAGAAGGGACGTTTATCCAGAAATTCTGACCTGACAGCAAAAGGCACCTGGCCACTTCGATACCAGGCGCTCTTCAGGGCTGAGGTAGTACCAGATCTCACCACATGGGGGCTCGTCCGGGATTTATTATTATTAATTTAATAATTTGAATCCGAGTGAACAATAATTATTAAAACACCATCAAAATCCGCTAAACAGTGTCTCCAGAGTTGAAGGAGAGGGTTACGGAGAGTAACTGTGTCTCCTTAGTGCAAAGAGGAAGTTACTGAGAGGGTGCTTCCTCGTATTAACTGTAAAAAATCTGCAGGGACGCCTGAGAGATAAATTATATGGTTAAGCACTAAACGGGGTAATTGATCCAGAGGACTGCGCAGTGGGACCACACGAGTACCCAATATATATATAACCTTGAAGAAGGATAATTACCAGAACTCTCGAAAGGCAGACACACAGTCATGGACAAGATAACTCATATTGCTTTACTCCCACCCGATAAATTTAGCAAGCGCTTGAAAGACGCAGGGCTAAAAGAAACTGAGGAACTCATAGCTACCGAGTGTACTTTGTATACACCTACCGTTGACGGATTAAGAAGGTTAGTCCAAACCGTCGGCGAACAAACTCGAAGTGACAAGATCACTGTAGAAGTAGGGGACCATGATGTCACAATACCGATAGTTCCGGGTAAAGAAATCCAGGTAACTAGAGATGGGATCCCCGACCAACGGGCTCGAGGCTCGGCTGAATCTCCGTCCCCCTCAGCGCATACTGACCGGGAAGAGCCAGCCGAGAGCGTCTATAGCCGCTTGGATAGGGCAGGCGCGAGAGCAGCGATAGGGTCAGGGGCGATCCCTAAACATGCGAACTTTATCACCGGTTTCTCTCCCGCGAATTGGGAAGAAGAGACATGGGGAGGAAAAAATTCCGTGTTTAAGCCGCGTCAGACTTCCACCGAGAAAAAAGATAAGTACGGAAAACTGGTGCAGGAAGACTCAAGTGATAGCTCGAGTTCGTGCTATAGCGAAGATGAGATGTTGCCTAAACGAAAGAAAGTTAATTATAAGCGCTCAAAGAGTCTGTCGCGTGAGAGGCGAAGTAGCTCGGGCCAAAGGGAACATGAAGAGCCAACCAAGCAAGAGCCAACCGTTAATGACGTGAGAAAAATGAGGGAGACAACTTATAGGGAGCCGGAATCTAATAAAGACAAAAATAAGAGCAAAAAGGAAAAAGCTCAACAGAGAGATTGCTCCACTAAAATAGTTGCCAGGGAAAGCTTCGAAAAATCCCGTGGTAGGGAAACACATAGGCAAGTTGTAAAATATGAAGAGGAATCTTCAGACTCGCAGTCCGAGTATGACTATCTGAACTCTGACACGGAGAGGGATTACGGGGGTGAAGAAAAGTTATTGCCCTTGAAACAAGAAGTAGATTTATCTCTCACCGCGGCTCTGGCAAGACAAAGAAGGGAAAAGAGGAAGTCAGATAGAAATGAGGAAGACGTTAGTCTGAAGCCTAGGCGGGGACCACCGAGACAAGCCAAAGGCGACAGAGTGTCTGCAATTCAGTTACTGCAAAACATGAGATTCCAGGGGGCCAAAGATAGCATGCAGAAGGCAAGAATGATAGCAGATCTAGGCAAGACGCTGAATGCATCCACTGCCTTGATAGAGCAGATGATCCGACACCACACTGGGATATCGTTGAAGTTGCAGACAATAGAATCCCGTTACGATCATGTGATAGGGAAAAATGAGAAAGCGGAAATAAGAGAGGAGTTAGAGGTAGTAAAAACTGTAGGCTTATAGGCATACCTTTCTGAGAAAGCCGACAAGGGCTGGACTGAAGAAGAGGTGCTGGCGCAATTAAAACAGCTGGCTCCTGAACTGCCAGGCTGTAGAGAAATCGCTCGCTGGGGGTCAGAAACTGATTGGTCTGAAATATCTAAATTCGCAGTGCGGTATGATAGAGACACTGTAAGAATAAGGGAGGAAAGATCAGGCCGGGGTAGAAGCAGACCGCTAGAGGGGGTTAAAATAAAGCCAATAACTGACTTTAAACCTAATCAGAATAGGTCTAGTAATGATGCCAGAGTTAAGCCAGGCAGGAGGGAGCCCTCAAAGAATCGCGCTTACCAGAAACCTAAGCAGCAGCCCAGACCAGGACAGAGAAAAAAGAGTGAACAGAAAAATGGCTATATAGACTCTGAAACATGGGCAAAAATGACAGATGAACAAAGGAAGGCGCAGATGGAGAGGCGTCGCGGAAGAGAGGTGCGGAAACCAGGGCGCGCAACAGCGGTCAGAACTAACAAGTCCGCTAGAGCTAGTGACCAATAGGACAGAAAGGCTCCAGGAAAAGCGACCATTGCTTCTGATCTAGTTGAAGAAACAGAAGAACAGGATTTGTTTATTAATTATAAGGGGATTAAGTTCCGTCTCGATACCGGAGCGGAAATAACATCAATCACCGAGCTGCCTCCCGGGGCTGAGAAGCTAAGTGGGCAATATAGGGTGTATGGTTTTAGTGATGAAATGAAACCAGTGACTAGAGATAGATATTTCTGGGAGGGAATACACTGTATTGTGGACAGCTCTAATTTAATGAGTCTTAAAGATGCCATCTATGTTAAAGAGTTGAATGATAGGAATCCTGATAATGATAAACGAATCAGATGGCTGAAAACGGTCGACCTGGAGCATGAGATAAATAGACTCGTAAAAGAGACTCTATTACCCAAAAATGAATTGAGGAAATTACTAGAGAAGTATAGGAATAGTTTTGCAAAGAGCAAAAATGATTGTGGAAAATTAGATGATAAATACGAGTACACGATATTAGGGGGAATCCCCGCGCCGCAGAGACAGTATCCGCTGAATAAAGCCGCTTATCCGGAAATAAGAGGGACGTTGAATGAATTATTGCGCAAAGGGATCATAAGTGTGGGGGAGAATTGTCCAACGAATTCCCCTATACAGGCGGTAATGAAGGTGGACGGCTCGTACCGTCTGGTGTGTAATTTCAAGGCGTTAAACAAGCTAACGGTGCCAGACACCAGATATTTGATTAATGCTAGGGATGCGACAAACTGTTTGGATGACGGCAAGATATTGTCAAAAATTGACTTAGCTAATGGATTCTGGTCGGTACCTTTAGCAAAGGATAGTCGGGCAAGGACCGCTTTCACTTTCGAGGGAAAGCAGTACGTTTTTAATCGATTACCTATGGGATTTTGCAATGCGCCTAACGCCTTCCAGCCAATAATCCTGGAAATATTGGAAGGACTGCCCGTTACGGCTTACATTGACGATGTGTTGATAGCTACGCAAACCGCGGAGGAACACATGAGAGTCCTGACTGAAACTATTAGAAAATTGGCGGACGCTGGTTTTCTGTTGAACTTGAAAAAGCTAGAATTAGGAAAGGAGAATGTTAATTTTTTAGGATTTGAAATTTCTGGGGCCGAAAGGGGCATAGCAAAATCGACGCAAGAAATATTAGAAGAGTTGAAAAAGGAACGAATCATAAATTTGAGGCAGCTGCAGAGCCTGCTGGGGAGATTAAATTTCGTGCGAGACCTGATTCCAGGGTATAGCGCAAAGGCTAAAATACTGTATAAAACAACGGCAGGGAAAGACTTTCATTGGGATGATAGATTGGAAAGTATCAAGTGCGACATTATTAACATGGCTTTGGCCTCGGGGCGAATAGTCAGGAGAAACCCTGATAAAAACCTCAGGGTTAAGATTGATAATACCCCCGAGGAAATGGAATTGATATTATATAACGAAGGGGATTAAAAAATCCCCAGTTATGTTCATTTCGCACGAGAAACCCGCTAACCATAAGAAGCATGAGAATATGTCGCCTGTTGATATTCTAGCCACAATTGCTAGGAATCTGCTCGTCATTAAGGCATTGGCGGCCGAAAAGTTGATTATTATAGTTGCTAAAGGGGAGGGGATCGACCTCTTAGCAAGGGAAGCAAAAAACTTGATCAATGAGAATAAGCGCGTGCATGTTTTTACCTGGTCGAAGTGGATAAAAATAATTGATGATAACCAATTTGAGTTTAGAAATGAGAAAAGTCCGAAAAAGGACAGAAAGACCATAATAGATCCGGAACAGATTTGCTACTTCACGGACGGTAGTTCGGAGAAGGGAGAAACCTGGTGGGGATTTATGGTCAAGTTGAAAGGAAAAATTATTCACAAAGAAAAGGGCAGATTAAATAATGACAAAAGTGCACAGGAAGCTGAGGTTACAGCGGTTGCGAAGGCAATAATGCACATGAGGGACAACAACCGTAAAAAATGCGTATTAGTCACCGATAGTGAATACGTGTATTTGGGCATTGTTCAAAACCTGTCCACATGGGAACAGAATAATTTTTATAATGCCAAGGGCAAACCACTGGCACAGGTGGAATTGTGGAAAATCATTAGTGAATGTGCCAAGGTGGTACAACCGAGAGTGTTGCACCAGTCCAGTCATACGGTCCAGAAAACTCCAGCAGCTGTAGGAAACAGGGAGGTGGATCAGTATGTGCGCATGAGGGCAATTACTAAAGAGAGTGAGGGGAACCTGCTCCAAGAGCTGCACGATAAACTTAATCATCCGTCCACGACGTATGTTGCGAAATATTGTAAGCAGCTGGGACTGCATGTGCAAAATTTAAAGACCAGCTATCAGAAAGTTAAACTGCAGTGTCCTGATTGCCGAAAAGTGATGTCCAGCGTGCATCACGATTTTGGACACATTAAGACGGAAAAAGAACACGAGGAAATAAGTGTAGACTTTGCTGGGCCTTTATATCCAAAGACAAAGATGAAGAATGTGTATTTTTTGGTGGTAGTCGACAACTGTACCAATTTTACGCAGATTTATCCGTGTCCGCAGGCAACCAGCGCGGTGGTAGTGGACAGTCTGAAAGAATGGATAAAGTACCGGGGAAAGCCCGAAAGGGTCCGCGGGGATAATGCGCATAACCTTACAGGAAGTGAGGTGGAAACGTTTTGTAAAGAAAATGGTATAGCCCTAGTCAAGGCCGTGAAATACCAACCCGCAAGTAACGGGATCGCCGAACGTGCCGTGCGTAGTGCAAAAGAGTTTTTCGTAAAGAATCAGGGTTTAGGTGATTGGGATTCGATCGTTAACCTGTGTACGCATTATCTTAATTACAGGGTCGACAAACCTAACCAAAAGCCCGAACCGCCAGATACAAGCAAAAACCCGTTTAAGGTAGGACAGACAGTTTACATCCTACTTAAACGCAAAGATAAAAGATTCAGGGCGAAAACAGGGACTGAAGATAAGGTAGTCGAGTTAACCTCCAATAATACTGTTAGGCTGGAGGCGAACGGGATTTGGTCAATCCGAAATCTGGTGGGGAGTAAAGATTGTGTATAAGAACATGAATCAAATCAGCGCAGCCAAATTGTCGTTCCAGCTGGGCGTGAAGTGTCCAGCAGAGGGCGTCATAGTAGTGTGTAAGGATTTGAGTGATTCATTCTTGGTGAAGACATGGCATAAAGACTGTCGGGAGGGAACTCCGTCAGTTAGGAGGAAGCCAATTGACTGTGTGTTCTGTAGCAAACAGGACGTTTGCAGCCTGCTCTGGGAGGGGCCGAGAGAGATACGGGAAAGTCAGGCGTGGCTGAGAGCTCAGCTGACAATTTTGCCCAAATGGTTCAGCACAGATAGGTCCATTGGGGCCTGTGCGGTGGGAGACGTAACTGTATGCGGAAGCTGTCGAACGCAAAGGCAGCTATGGAGTATATGGCAGTATGAACTAGCCGTAGGTACTTGTGGATGCAACACCTGTACCGACTGTAGATTGAAGTACAATCTACGAGGTCAAGAATGTAAGTGTACATTAAATGACCTAGGTGAGCTTGCGAAATGTGAGAGATGCAAGCTGATGCTGAAGAAACGATGGTTAAAAGTAACCAGTTTCAAGGGTGTCTGGCAAACTAGAAAGAGCGAAACAAGCTTAGGATGTTTGGCCAAAGACAAGATCATGACGGAATGGGACGTGAATCCATTGGCCTTGATCAGCAACACGGAGAAGGCCTTCCTGTGGGAAAGGTTGCTGTGTTCAGGGGGACCGGTCCCAAGAGATTCAGATCCGTTAGTGAAAGGTGGGGTGTTAGATACAACACTAGCCAGAGACAGCGACCTAGACCTCTGGAAGGAGGTCATAAGGGACCCAGTGTACAAGAAGGGGCACCCGGTTATAAGACCAAAGGGGTGTATAAAGAGGCAAGTATGCATGATATGATTACTGACTTGATTAAGGGAATGTCTTTTCAGGAAGAATATCCAATTTACATGCCCAGAGAATATAGCCATTATGTCAGGGAAACTTCTCTGACCGTAAGGGCTAGATCACAACAGACTTTTGTAGGGACAGATAGGGTGAAGATTAAAATGGGCCCCGACAACAGAAGTGAGCTGTGGGAGTTCAGGGTTCATTTGACAACTACATCCGACTTTCTCGGAGTAGGAAAGGCAATAGAAGGGGTCAAACTTATCAGATCAAGCATAACAAAACCCAGCTCACTGAGCAGAATGGCCATCTGGATCAGACAAAAGCTAGGGAAAGTTTAGGTTGATGTATGTCTCTGTGTCTGTTGTGTGTTTCACAGAAGCAGGATGGTGAAACAGCGGAAACATCTGAAGAGGAAGTACCTAAAGCTGCGGAGGAAGCGAAGCAGCTTGGGAATCGGGCTGTTGTCAGCGCTGACTATGCTGGGAGCAGCATTGTTAATATTGGGTCTGGGATTATCAGTAGATAACGAGACAGAAGTGGTTAGCGTATCCTCCTGCTCTGTTGTTGAGAAATTAGTGTTAAAAATATGCTATAAGCAAACAGTAAATATTGGTGGGGTGAAATATGGCTCGAAAATGATAAGGGACATGTTTAAAGGAATGATAGAAAATATAGATAAATCATTTTGGAACTGTACAGGGGCTCGGAAAATAAGTGCTACGAAGGGGCCAGCTCTTTATGGGGGTAAAGTAATTAAGAATAGTACCCGGTTGAGATGGAATATTCTTGACGGTCATAATCAGACGCACGTAAAGCTAAGGGGCCTAAAGTACAATCTCACTGATATCACTAATTTGACGTTTAGTAAGCATGTGTACAAAATATGGGATAGTCCTGTTCTCCAGATAACTGGGGTGCAGCATTGGGATTGTCTGACCAAGGAAATTGTTACGGAGCACAGTAATAAATGGTTGGGTAAAACTGTTGAGGATCAGTCGATAGAGATTGAAATTGATAAAGTTCCAGCAGATAAAAGACATAGCGGTAGATCTGCCCCAGAGGGGGCGAATTATCATATCACGGACCAAACATGGAATAATGAAGATAATTTGGACCCAGTGCAGGAAGGTTATTGGCCCAAGGGCCTAAATCCGCACGTTTTAATAGTCGGTGTTTATAAAAATAAACCAAAGCCGGCCTATGATGAGTTAAATTGGGTAACGTGCGAACAATTGGTCATGCCGATAGGGATGTGTGAGAGACGCAGTAAGTGCCCGTTGTTGACCAGGAACAAATTTGTAAGTAGTAAACCGGAAAATCAGTTTTGGTACAACATTGACCAGCATTGCAGAACTGATTATGGTAAGACGACCGCATGGGTGTGTTATCTAAATAGCACCTCTAAATGGGACTATAAGGAATTTGAGAAGCACGGTAAAGATATTATTAATCTGTGGCATGATTGGATGATGTTGCAGGATCCGAGTAATGACATGGTGAAAAGGGAGAGTAGGCGCGATACGTGGACGATCAACGCCACCTTGTGGGCGAATGGGGTAGGGGGAAAAAGGTTGCATCCTCTGACCTTAGATTATGCGCCCAGACCAGGTCTGTCGATAGAACTGGCAAATTACTCGGGCATTATGGACTATATCTTGAGTAATGTGACCAATCAGCAATACAGGTCCGCTCTTACCCTGTACTGTATGGGCTGGGACGGAGTTCATAGGAGTACACATACAAATCAAGGTATTTGGGCAAACCATAGTGATGCTGTTAACAAGGGGACTTTAAGATGGATTGGACTTTCTAACCTTATGTATAGGGTGTGGGATGTTTTTCCAGTGGTAATGGGACTGGATAAGACCACGACGCGTACTGTAAGCTGGAGGTCGTTCCATAATCATCCGGCTAATAAGAGTATATTCCCGATTGTGTGGACAAGATGGAATAGAACCTTAGGGTTGCAAACCAGAACTTTAGCGCATGGTTTTTGGAGTAGTAAATATTATTTGCCGATGTTGAAACCATCGGAAAGACGAGGTGCAACGAATACTGACTATAAAATTCTGATGGCCTCACCCAAATTTGATATCAAAGACAGTGGTTCATTCTCGAGACATAGTCTGAGGCCTGAGGACCATGACCGTGATGAGGTGAAAAGACGGTCAAATGTCTGGAACATGGGTTTGGGAAAATTTGTGTACAGGCATTGGGATGAGGTTAAGAATTTGTGGATACCGGCGAAAGAGCAATATTGCGACACGGAAATGTTTAATTCATGGAAAATTAAAACCCCAGGAAATAGGTTTAGTCCTAACATTACGTGGATGCATGGAGATGAACATGTTTTTTGTACTTTCAAGAATTTCAAAGTGATTGGCGCAGATCGGGTTGGTAGTGTAAGTGGGGCGGTTGATATAAGCTCGATAACCGGTGCAGCTCCCTTTATGATGATTGCGCGTAATCAGATAATGAAAAAATGCGCTTTTTCCGCTCTGTTGAATAGCGCAGAGGAGTCACGTGGTTTTTATGACCCGGTAGACGATTATGTGGAAGGCCTGTCCATGGGGCCTGGGTATTTGTTTTTTTGGGACTTCGAATCTCAATCGATTAAGCCAAATAGGGGCGATATTTTTACTGTATATTGGAAAGTGCAGAAAAAGGCTATTCTATGGGTGGTGGATAACATTAAAGAACTCGCTGTCTCCGTATGGGACCTAATAGTGCAATCTTGGTTTCACGTAAAGATTGTCATAATCTGCCTGGCTATTGTTATAGGAATAATAGTCATGGTGGTCTTGTTCGTTAAACTTTCGAAATTGGGGCTGGTCTGCAGGAAACTGTCGAAATTGCCTGACTCGACAGAGGACACAGAGGCTCTAGTTCCTCTTATGACCAAATAGGGGACGGAGTGTCAAAACGAGCGGACAAGGTTACGGATCACTCAGTTGGTGGCGGACAAGGAGGCTATCATCACTCTCTCTAACTTTCTTCTATTCGCAACAGCAGCAGTAGACTAAATGGCAGGTAATTACAGCAATACTACAAGGCATTGCATTGACAGACCAAAAGAAATTGTGAGTATAGTTTCCATCAATTTATGGTTGATTGTATATTGGATATCTGGAATATTAAGTCAAAGAATGCCGGAGCAAGTAGTATTGATGTTTTTGAGCCTTGGCCTTTATAACTTTTTGGACGATATTTCATTAGTGCTAATTCTAGTGTCTCAGCTGCTGAGAAGTGCGAGATATGTTAAATTGTTTGGAAAAAAGGGAATTGTTGCAGTTATGGTTTTTTCCGTAGCTATAACTGGGTACAATTTCACAAAATGCTACGTTGAATTAATTTGGGTCAAATACGTGGGTGTGGGGCTAGCGCTCATCACATACGTATTTTTGATTATTTTAAGCTATAGAAGAAATACCGTTTTGAAGCCTTTAGTGAAAAAATTGGCTGTTCTTTATTTTTTGGTTTTACTTATTGCTGGCAGTTCAAGACAAGTGAACGAGCCGAAGCTATTCATGTTAGCCATTCTGGTTGGCATTAATGATTATAGCTATATGTGGAAGTTGATTGACAATTGTCGAACTGATTGCATTATTTGTGGATGAAAAAAAAAAAACAGAAAAAAACAAACCTGAATAACTGTGACAGTGCCGGGGAAAAAAAAAAAAAAGGAGCACTTGCTGGTTGTTATTCTTTTATTTTGTTTGTTTTGTTTTTTGTCACAAATTGTTTTCATGTTGATTTTTGTTTCATTAATTTTGGAAATATAATGATCAATAGAACAGTGACGGGTAGAAGAAAAAAAAAACCCCGATTATTGTCACTGACTGACCATGTTGAGTTCGCCAATTTGTTGAGTTTACAAATTGTTTTCTAAAGGGGTCTGGATTTAGTTTGTTTCTTTCGAAATGAAAAGCAATTTTGTTTTGTTAACAATGTTTTCATTTTCTTTTGAACTACATAATTTCATGTATGAGTAGGGTGATGTATTTGGAAATTTTAATTTATGGTGACCAGTCAAGTCATGGGGTCGCTGCGTTCAGGAAGGGCCCCCTGGGGGGCAGCAACTGACCAATGACAGTTTGATTGACCGGGTCATTTTTTGAAAAAAAAAAAAAACATAGAAAGTTCGTTTGGTTTATTTGGGGTTGAAGAAACGAATTTTGTTTTGTTTATAATGTTGGTCTTTTTGTTTGAACTACCTCATTCATGACATGGTTTATTTACTGTATGTATTATGGTTTTCTGTTATCATACTATAGGCAATGGCGCCACCAGGGGGTGGCCAGGGGTGGCCATGGCCACCCCTGGCCGACTCCTGGCACACCCATTGGCCACCCCAATGGCTAGTATTAATTTTTGTAGCATCAGTTATGCATTTTATAAATAAGTCAAAAATATTCTTAAGTAAAAGAAGACGGGGAATTATGTGTCGTGACGTGCTTTTTAAGTGCCAAATGGTATACTGTTACAGCAGCTTTTTGATGTGTTTTTGCCACGTTTGGACAGGCAGGGATGCAAACAGCGCGCTTTTCGGCGCCTCCCGCTTTTTTCACGTCAGTTTGGGTGACAAAGTCATCTGAAGTCATTCCATAGCTTAATGTGAGGGACAGAAGTATATTTACATCATTAAAGTATACGGAAACCCGTTTTCCATCCTCTGCGGCTGTCAATCATTCTCCATTCATATTCAATCAGCACGCGCGCCTCTTGGATGCACGGTAAAACTCTCTCCAATATGATATATTCACGTTATAAATGCATGATCTGTAGATAAAAGGCTGTACAGTATATTCGCATAAAATTACTTTATTTTCTTGGAGTTTGTAGCTGTTTTTAAACGACTCACTACCGTGTGCTTGTTACTGTTAGATCACACATATCACAAGGACTATGAATCGGCATCAAACGCACAATAACTGTGAAACAAAGGAACAAATCGCACTAGGATTTGTGCGCTCAACATTTCTTTGATTTGTGACATGAGCTTTTAAATGCGCACTTATGAAGCGCAGTGCTGCTGCACTCTGTGACTCCATGTTGCTTTGAGCACATCATTCTGCACCCGCGATGCGCATACACGCTGTGTGCTCTCTGTTTTTCATGTTATCATGGGTTTGCGCACTGAAATATTATTAAAAGGCAATATATTTTGTTATACCTAGCCTGCTCAATACATTTTAAATAAGCATAATTTAATTGTATATTATTTATTTTGTAGTGTAGGCTATGCACTTCTGAATTCTTGACATTAATATATATGTATATAAAATTGTGACATGTATAAAATTGTGACATTGAATTTTAAAAGAGAACTAATAGTCATTTGTTTTTATTAACATATTTAGATTTTATAAAATTACTGTGCAGATTTTTTCAAGAATTACTTTTTGCTACTGATGTATACACTCATTAAGTTTATTAAAAAGTCAAAATACATTTATGTAGTATTTAAAGGTGTTAACTGTAATCTTACACTGCAAAATAATAATTTAAAAATGATTAAATTTCATCACAATTATGTAAGTATCTGGAAATTTGCTGTGGGGCAAGGCCATATATATATATATATATATGTATATATATCATATAATACATATCATTATTTCTACCAGAAAAGACTCGGGAGATAAGATACTGTACGATAAACATTTTATTAACAGCCCAGCAAGCCATATATGCAATAAAGTTCTTTGGCGTAGGCCCCGTCCGTAACTCGCGATCCGAGGGTATGGATTCTGCATATCCTGCCTGAAGATGAAGGCAGGGGCGCAGCCGACCCCCACTTGGAGTTTTGGAAGGGACCGACCTGGTGGTGGTGGTGGGAAGGATGGAGCGAAGACCGTCTTGGTGGAGGTGGGGAGGATGGTGGTAAGTGAAGCGTCAGCATCTGCAAACTCAGACAAGTGCAAGTAAGGGTCTTTTATACTTCACGTATTAGAACGCGATTGGATAGATGAGAAGGTAATAATGACGTGACAATTGAGTCTTCCTGGCAGAACTTCCGCTACGCTTTCATTTCTACCAGAAAGACTCGGGAGATAAGATACTGTACGATAAACATTTTATTAACAGCCCAGCAAGCCATATATGCAATAAAGTTCTTTGGCGTAGGCCCGTCCGTAACTCGCGATCCGAGGGTATGGATTCTGCATATCCTGCCTGAAGATGAAGGCAGGGCGCAGCCGACCCCCAAAAATGAGTGGAAGAATAGTTCCACTGGACGAAGCCCACCCCCAAAGAACATGAAAGAAAAGTATACCCACCAGAAGCATGTTATGTGGTTCCTAAAATAGAAGAAGAAAAAGAGTTAGCAAACAGGTAGTCAACATGGGTATATCAATTTCCATGGATAGAAGAGTTCCATCGATATTGCAGTGGGAACGGAACTCTACGATTGAAAAAATGTCGAGCATGCTTAACTTAATATGAAGATACTTTTCTGCTGCTAAATTTCAATGAGACATTTACGCATTTACTCACGCTTAAATTAATTTATCACTTATTTATTTAATATATACGAGGCCGCGCTGAGCCACATAAAACGAGGCCACACTGAGCCACATAGAAAGGGCCACGCTGACCCACATAAACAAGGCCATGCTGAGCCACATAGACAGGCCACGCTGAGCCACATAAACAAGGCCATGCTGAGCCACATAGACAGGGCCACACTGACCACCATGAACACAAGGCCACGCTGAGCCACATAAACAAGGCCACGCTGAGGCACATAGACAGGGCCACGCTGAGCCACATAGACAGGGC